GTTCTCAAGCAGCCAGCCCGCGCCTCAAAGAGCTACGCACTACCTTTATTGTTGTCATAAAAGTTCTCTTTCCGGATCTCTTGTTTGCTTGCCCTGTAGATTCCCAGCGATCCCTTCTTTTCCATCCTCTCTTTCCACATGAGCGTCTCTGTTTCCCTCACTTGCTTTTTAACTGGCCCCCTTTGCTTATTTGCCGCGGTCAAGTTATATTTAGTCGCCAGCTTTCGCGTCCTCTTCCACCATTGGGTGTCCACACTTTTCAGGTACAGGTATCTGTGCACTCTGGCTGCCCAGTTCTTCTCATCTAAATGTCTAAGTCGCTCCTCAAACCGTATTTTACTTTGTGCTTCCCTCGCCTCTAATGAAGCCCAACCCATATCGCCTTGTACAGCCTCGTTTGTAGCCTTACTGTGAGCTCCCAGAGCTAACCTGCCGACTGCTTTTTGGTTAACCTCCAGCCCCGACAGGATATCTGACTTTAAGCATAATACGGCATTAGAGAATGTGAGCGCCGGCACCATTACCCCTTTCCAGATGCCTCGTACTACCTCGTACTTATTGTGTCCCCAAAGTGCTCTATGTTTCATTACTGCTGCATTTCGTCTTCCTTTCAGTTTGAGGTGTTTTTCATGAGCATTCAGGTAGCCTTTTCCTTCATTAAGCCAGATCCCCAAGTATTTGTACTTATCTACTAATGGTATGGCTTCCTGTTGTATCCTTATTGGTGCTACATGAGCTTCCTCGTTGAACACCATGACTCCAGATTTCTGTGGGTTAAAATGTAGGCCTAGGTACGTTGCCTCATCACCACAAATGTCAGGCAGTTTTTGAAGTTCTTCCGCATTATCCGCCAGCAGTACTATATCGTCTGCGTACATCAATCCCGGAATCCGTTGCTCCACTAACGCTCCATTGCTTCGGTGTGACAAATCAAAGCCCAATCCACTCTCCTCTAGTCGTCTTTCCATTCCTCTAATGTACAGTGTGAACAGCAATGGCGAAAGAGGGCACCCCTGTTTCAAACCTCTTCGAATGTACACGGGCTCTGTGTATGTACGCCTTTCCCATGTAATGTGTGCCTTGTTATCCTCATATATTGCCCTTAGCAGCCCTACAAATTCCGACCAAATCCCCTCCTCTTCCAGTATATGCCACAGCAATCCCCTGTCCACGTTGTCATAGGCACCCTTTATGTCCAGAAACAGTAGCCATGTTGGTCTGCCCTGTGCTGCCGAAATTTCGATGGTCTGGGTTATGACGAAAAGATTGTCTTCCAAGCGTCGACCCGGCCTAAATTCATTTTGCAGTTCCCCTAAAATACCGTTACTTTCAACCCACTTCAACAACTCGGCTTTGATGGCTTGTATAGCTAATCTATAGAGCACTGACGTGACTGTAATCGGCCTGTAAGAGCTCGCCTTGTCCCTTTCTCCCTTGCCTTTGTAGATCAAACTCATTCTACTTTCGCGCCAGTGCGCAGGAATCCTCTTGGATTTTATAGCGCGCTCGATGGCTCCATACAAGTGCGCCTGTCCCGCTGGTCCCAAATGGTTGATAATCTCTATCGGGATTCCATCCGGTCCTGTTGCCGTACTTTTGGGAACACTGTGTTCTGCCTTTTTCCAGTCCAAAAATTCGATATTAAATTTTTCATCTGCCACTCTTTTATTTGCCACCTGTGTCCAGTTAGCCGACCTCTCGCGTGCTTGGCCGAAAGTATTTCCTATGACTCCATGTAGGTATTCTAATGCGCTGTCCCCCAGGAGAATGTTACCGTCCCCGTCCTGTATCTGAGTCTGCATCTCTTTAGTCGTCGTTCCCAATGCTTTTAAATGGTTCCAGAATTTTCGGGGGGCGCTCTTATCCTTCTTACGTATGTCTGATACCCATTTCTCACTCGCAGCTTTAATCTTCGCTTGTACTAGTTTCTGCACCTAAAATTTCTTTTCTCGGTACCGGCTCTACGGTAACTGCACCTCATTATCCTGATATCCCATTTGCTTTGCTTTTCTGTGTAGTCTAGAGGCTCGTCGTCGCTCTTCAATAGCCAGTTTAATTTCCTTGTCCCACCAGCTTCGTGGTTTCCGTTTACCCCTCCAGCGTTTTTTTTTCCTTACTTTGTTTATTTCCTTTTGTATACAACTAACAACCTCGTCATATTCCCACACCTTTGTTGGCTGTGCTTCTAATTCTCTTTCGATGCTATTGACGATGTCTGCTATCTGCTTTTCGCTTACTTTCGGGAGCCCAACCTCCTGTGTTTTCTTCCTAGCCTCCCCACTGTCAAATTTCAGGATTATACACCTGTGGTCGCTGCCCAGACTGTTTTCTCCTTCTTCATCTATCGTCATTTGGTTCAACCGCTCGTACGTGTGCTCTGAGATCAGGCCGTAGTCTATGCAAGACTGTCTACTGCCGCTTTGCCACGTTATCTGCCCGTCGCATTTATGTTCCCGGTTAACTATTACCAGTTGCTGTTCTTCACACATATCGATAACCATTGTACCGTTATAGTCTGTATATCCATCCAGATCCTCAATGTGGGCATTTAAATCTCCTGCTAATATCACCTCGCCAGATTCTTTAAATTTTTTTATGTCCTTCCTGAGGCAGTCCACCCACTCTTTATTTTGTTCTCTGGCGTCATTCCCTGTCCACAGATAGGCCACTCCCAACCGTGTCTTTTTTCCCCCCACCGTTCCACTAACCCATAAGGGCTCCTTAGAGCCCTGATTTTCCCTCTGCCAATTCCCTCCTCACCTAATCAACATGCCCACGCCTCCACCATTCCTTTCTCCCACTGCCCTGTTGCACCCCACCCATACGCAATCATCCATCACTGGTGGCTCCTCCATATCTTTCAGGTGGGTTTCGGTCAAGGGCGTACACGTCAATTTCTTCTTTCTCGAGTTGGGTTTGTATCTCAATCCATTTTTCCTGCTTGCGGCCGCCTTGCATGTTTATATAACTAATTTTAATCCCCCGGTTTATTTTCCTTTTCTTTCCTTTGTGTTTCCGCCGCCGTGCATCATTGCCCCCTCCTTCCTGCTTTTCACCACCCCCTCCACTCAGTCCGCCTTCTTCTTGAACGTTTGGCCTCCCCCCAAAAAAGCCACCGCGCGGGCTGCCAATCGGTGCCCTACATGCTCAGCTAGACGGTTACTGAAGTGTATGCCGTCAGACACAAACGCCCTGTTGCGGCCTGCATGGACCAGGTTTCGGTTCAGGTTGACCACCTCGAACTTCATCGTTTTACCCAGAGTCCAAAGCTCCCTGTTTGCCGTAACCACCGCCCTTTCTACGTGGACTCCCTGTTTCTGCACCTCCGGCACCGTGCAGACAGCAATCTGCACATCCTCCGAGGTCGCCCTCAGCTCAGTGATCCCCTTCGCAATCTGCTTTGCGAACCCTCCCCCAAGGACATATACACGACATTACACATAACGCCATCTTGTGAGCAATTTTTGAAGCTAACTTGAAGTGGCTGCTACAACATTCTACGAGAGAACAACCCACACCCTAAGGAGCTTGGCCCCTAAAACTGTGACATAGGCTATGAGAATTAAGTTTGCCTTGCCTAATAGCAATCGTAATGTAATCAACAGAACGAGTGTGATTGATGCCATTGCAGGATTATCTTTAATAACCCGACAAAGGTTTTTTTGAATGCTCATTGTGTATATATGTGTGATGCATAGTTTTTGTACTCCAAGATGTTTGTACACAGCAGGCAGCTGGTCTCCACATAGCTGGTTATATCAATATTTTTAAAACATCTAAGTTTGGTAGGTTGGTGAGAATTCATGTCTAAAAAAGTTGGCCATGCTGTTTCCGACACTATGGAGGGAAGCAGCATTTTTTTTTTTTCTTGTTACCGAGGAGCCGTTTAAACCAGCCATAATCTGTGCAATGCAAACAAAAAGCGCTGCTCCGCAATGACATCATCGCGCGTTGCCTAGCAAAGAAGTTGCACTGCTTTGCATCTGCTTTGCTGGTGTATACAAATCACTGCTACCAGCCACACTGCACGCAACTGCTCGGTCATACCAGACTTGGGGAGTCCAAAAGAAGTTCACACTGCCAATGAGGAAGCTGCCTGCCAGTAATCTAAAGGCTGCAAGACCTGCATCGTTTAATGTAGTCCACTACCTAGCAAGGTCCAAACGGCGAGGGTCAGTTGTGCTGAACACGAGTAATACTTGGCATTTCTTGGCGTTATTTAGCATCTGATTGTATGGGCAGGAACAACTAGGGATCTATAAACTCCACTGTGTCTTCAGCCTTGCACCTCCAGTGCAAGCTATGCCAGGCTTTATTTAAAAGGTTACTCCCCCTTAGTACAAAAGAAATGCTCGCCTTAGTGCATGTACTCACAAACATCTTCAGTGCAAACAAATAATTTCGGTTGCTTTTCACCTTAGTGGTGAACAGAACTCTTGTGCTTACCCCTAAATCATGTTCTTTCATGCTTTGAAAGCAACTTGCCAAGGTGAATTGCAAAATATTCCTGTTGTAAATTCTTCTAGGTGTTAATGTTATTCCAATTAAGGTGCAAAAATGGAAAATTTGGCATGGTACTAGAACATAAACAAATATTATTATCATTTAAAACTCACGTTTATTTGTATGGTGCTTGAATAAACAAGCAAAACATTGTCATGTGTTATCTCTGTTCACTTTCACTTGCGTTTTAATCTGCGCACTAAACTTCTATCTTCTAGTGGTGTTAAACGCTGTACTGCTGATTGTGATTAACTCCGATCCTTATCAGGTTGGTCAACAGTGATGGGCTCCCTTCTACAGCTTGCATAAGGAAGCAAATCACGATGAAGAAATTCAATCCGCATCAGCCCTGATCTCAGTCATAAGTGACCGTATAAAATTGGTGTTGGACAAACACCGTTTTGTGCTCCTTGATCGTGTAAGACCAGCTGTAAAAAAAACACGAGATAATCAATTTATATTTCTTTGCCATCATTTTCCCATTCCTGTTCTTGCAGGTTCTGGCTGCACTATGCGCTGACGACGACAGGTGCACGACAGTCTCGCAGACCTTCGGCCTCTCGCCTTCACTGGAACAGCTGACTTCCGGGTAAAGTCCTGTGCTTGAAGCAAGAGCTCTGAAATGCACACCGCATGCATTTCAAAGGGACACTAAAGAGGAACAGTGACCTGGCTTAAATTGATAAACTGCACGCTGGGCACTCTAATGCCATACGTCTCACTGTCATAAGTTCATTATTAGTGGAGGAAATCAAGTTTGAAGATTCATTTTTAAATTTCACACCGAAATCTCCAAATGTGACGTAACAAATTTCAGAATGCATGATTGATATTTTCGCGACACAGGCTCGATGACATTTTCTTGGAACATCATATGCCAAGTCAATGCACCCACAGACGGCAATGTACTTCATTTTTATCGATTAGAAGCTACGTAGGACCCAGTAGACACTTTCAAAACTTACCACATCCCGATGTTTGGTGCTGGAATCTCGAGGTGGCATCTCCACCCGCATTTCCTCTCTTACCAAGCATCGTGTTTCGGCAAGAGGAGCGTTTTCGTAATTGTGAAATTGTACTTCACTAATATGCAAACAATCGTTTTCTTCCTTAGTGTCCCTTGAAGCATTGGCTTGTCTGCTTACACGCGCAAGTGCTTTCCCGCTTATGTAGACATAATGCGCTGCCTATTGCTGACACATCTGTCTGCCCACTACATTTTCCTCAGGTGCAGAATTTTGTTCTTTTCTTTCATCCTTTAGTGCTTCCTTTCTTACTTAAAGCTATACATGAGTGTTGTAAAGTATTTTGAGATAAATGAATGGGAAGTGAAATGCTGGGGGCCCTTGTACTGTGCGATGTCAGTCTACATTAAAGGACACCGGGTGGTCTGACTTTGCAGAGCCCTGCACTGAGGCGTGCTTGCTAATTATAATGTTAGTTTGGCATGTGACACCCTTGATATTATTTATATTTGAGATGAACGAATGAGCTCTCAATAATGGTTCTTCAAGCACGTGCTGCCAGAGGTTACGACGATCGGGCAAGATACTTATGGGTGTTTTTCACTACAGGGGGCACAACTATGGCATCAAGGAAGCTGCGCTGAGGCTCAAGATGCGCCTGCTCGAAGCCCGAGTGGCGCTGCTGTCCAGGCAGCAAGAAGAAGCCGCCTGGGCCGACGTGCGACTGTCGTTCAGGGACTACTGCAGTGCCGGGTACGCATTTATTTGTGCAGTTAGGTACAAAAAGCAGTGTTTTCAAAGGCACTAAGGTGGCAAAAAAGAAATGTGATGTTATTTTTTTTTTACTTCATCGTATAGACACAGCATTAACTGCTATGTGTTGCGTGCTGCTGTCAATTCGGTGGCTCGTTATGTTTAAAGGCCAATTCCAGTCAGTTCTTGAAGTCAATAGATCTCAGTGAGATTCACTGGGTATGCTCGTTTATCCACTTTCGCCATGCACTCCAGATTGCAGGCTTGAGAGTTTTGCAGATTCTTTTCAAATGAATTTTATCGCTTGCCTCCAAGTGCTTGCCAGAATTAATGGCAATATTGTATGTGTGACGTTGGTTTTTACAAGGTGGAAGTGACGGGACTGATGCGCCAGTGCAGCGTCTGCTCGTCTGTTATGGATTGTATGGGTTTCGCCGGCGCTTCCTTGGTTGAGCGTGCAATTTCTCTTTTCGTGTTGGTGAGCGTGCGATAGGTGGCAAGTGGTGTTGCATTGTGGGCTGCACGTGATTTGCCATACATTCACTATAACAGCGTAAGCGTTTTAGCCTATCGCCGCAGGCACAAACTTGAACGGCCTGTACAGGTAGTGCCATCTGGTGGCATTATGTGCAACCAAGTAGGTTCGGGCAGAGTCCTTCAATGCTTTTGAAGGACTCTGGTTCGGGCAAAGGATTACATCTAATGTAGAAGCGCACTTGGTTGGGTTTTGGTTTCAGCATTGCACTTTTTAGCTAACTAAAAGTTATTTTCGAGTTTGTCAGGCATGTGACAAGACTGTTTCAGGAACATAAAAGAAGTGTTATCCTGACATGGTCGAAAAATCGCCAGAGTTTGCCTTTAAGACAGTATTAAAGTACATAGAACAAAACCGTAGTTTCTAGCAATCTAGATATTGTGGAGCCCTCCGTGCAAAATCTAACATTCAAAATGCAATCGGGAGAGTTGCGAAAATTTAGCGAAAATAGCAGTTTTCTTTTCGAGGTACTGGTTAAGCCCTATATGTCCCATATGTGTTTTTGGCCACATTGAGGTGCCTTTTTTTTTCAGTGGCTGAAAATAAATGCATGTAATCCACATATCTTTTTCTTTGAAGTTTTCTGCTCTTTTAACTGATGCAAATTCAAATAAATTTGACAAATATTCATGCTTTGGTAAATCTTTTACCATTAAAACTTAAATTTGTGTTCATTGGCATCTTTGAAAATTTCCAACACCAAAAGTGTAAAATGCATAATTTCAATTCTGCTTTAGTAGTTGTATGCGTTTATGCAGAACTGTATTGGTTGCCACAAAATTTACACTTGCTGAAAGACTTCTGTTACCCACAGCATCTCAACTTATCGACAGACGAAAGGTGTAATGAAGCTACAGGAGCTGAATGTGTTTAAACAGACACGCTCTGAAGACCAAGTCGGAATACAAAAACGCACAATGTCTTCCAACCGCCCTATAAGGTATTCCGACAGTGTCTTATACGCAGCTGACTCCAGATAAACATTCCAACTTTTGTACATCAAGTACTTTTTGTTAAATTAAAAAAAAATCAATTGTACACAAGGAGCTTCTCCAAGAGTGCATGTTCTCGCTACTTGCTTTTGAAAACACTGGCTTTCAGCTACAAAAATACTCTTTACGAAAAGCACGAATGTGCTAAGTATGCACAAAGGGACATCCTTAGCAAATTGCTATAGAAAATAATTTTTTTTTATACTTTGCCTTACCTTGTGCCTTTTGTGCTTAAACTAAAAAAAGAAAGGTAGTCTGAGACAATTGCAGTGCATCAATTGCACCTCCGTGTCACTCTTTATAAGAACACTCTTCGCACAGCTTTGGCACATTACTAAACCATTCTGTTACTTGTAATAATTTGGCCTTTGCATGAAGCACACTATTTTTCATTTCAGCAAGGACAGCAGTTGCACTGCAGCGGTGCCGTCTCCAGCCAAGTGTCCGCCGTTTCTCGGGCAACACAATGGGGCAGCAAAGGTTGTTTCGCTACACATTGAGGGCCTCTTTTCTGAGGTCAGTACGTCACAGCCACTGTTTTGTTATTCATAAACAAGCACAAAGCTAATATGGGGCTCACATAGTCACATCGTGATAGGGCCTGTTCCAAGACAGATTTCTTGATTGTGGTTGGCTCCTTCACGCAAGCTGCAGATGGGGGCCAATCAGTGTTCATATATTCTATTGTAATCAGGATTAAAGAGGCCATGCAACACTTTTCAACCTAATCATCGAATGACTAGGTTGAAAGAGCTTATTGCCTCATGAATCAACTGTCACAAAAATTTCAAGAATCCACGAAGTTAGAAGCAGAGTTATAGGGATTAATGGCACACTTCAAAAGCTTTCTCCTTTCGTGCCAGAGAGCACGCTAAAAGTTAAGGAGGAGGCGATGACATGTGGGCAATAAAATGCATCCATTCGTCATCAACTTGAGCACTTTTTTTTTACAGCCAAAGCTGTTATGAGATCACAGCAAAGGTTGCATGCGTACCTGTTTACTGCCCCCGGTGTCCGTAACCACTATCACAGGGAATGAGAAAAAAAAATACTGAGAGCGTAAAAATTACTAGAATCACAATGGGATTCGAACCCGGGTCCTTTGCGTGCCAGCCCAATGTTCTACTACTAAGCCACGCCAGTGCTTGAAACTTGCTTGATGTCGGGGAAAAAATCGTGATAATGTGAGCAATAAATCATTTTGAAACAGCCAAGGAACAACCAGGCATCAAACAATGCGAATTGCATACCGAGTGGGTCATGAAATGCTACACCCCATTACTAAAGCTTCAGGCATAACTCTTTATTGTCACCAGCTACAGCATATAAAGAATTGCACAAAATTTCTTGCAAATGTGTAGCGGGTACCACGCTTCTTTGCAGAATGAGGAAGGATATTATAGTGAATGCCTCCCTACTACACAAAAGTTATGATGATTTATGGGGTAGTGGGTACACTGCAAGTCCGCTTACAGCAGTTCCCCAAAGAATGTTTAAAAAAAAGCTCTAAAAGACCGCTCTCCCAGCTTTCGCTCTGACTGTGCTGCACATTGTGCGCAGGCCTGTTTTTTTTTTTCTTCGAACACACACCTTACTTTCCGTGTTATTGTGAGTGTGTGCAGACACGTGGCGGCCTCCATTGGCAGCCATGGTAACTATGCCGCTCACGATGTTCGCATCAGCCAATGGCTGTGGACTTTGGGTTTGTGGCATCATTCGTTGAAGTTAAACGGAATGATTTCTACCTGGCTTTGAGAATTCAATGTAAATTCCACTGCGTGTGTCGCACTATGGTGTTTGACCCGTGCATTCTCAGGAGCCTCAACTACCAGTAGGTAGTGTTTTATGGCCATGCTGGAAAAGTGTTGCCAGGCCCCTTTGTCATAAGCACTGCACCGTGTCGCACATGTATAAGTTAAGGTCATGCTGTAATCTGTGGTGTATGCAATGCACAAAGCATACTTGAAAGTGCTATGATGATTTCATGAAGAGTGACAAGATTTTTGGCAGAAGCCCCGCCACGGTGGTCTAGTGGTTAAGGTACTCGGCTGCTGACCCACAGGTCGCGGGATCAAATCCCGGCTGTGGCGGCTGCATTTCCGATGGAGGCGGAAATGTTGTAGGCCCGTGTACTCAGATTAGGGTGCACGTTAAAGAACCCCAGGTGGTCAAAAATTCCGGAGCCCTCCACTACGGCGTCTCTCATAATCATATGCTGGTTTTGGGACGTTAAACCCCACAAATCAATCAATCAAGATTTTTGGCAGAAATAAAAAAGTTTTTTCTGAAGGTTTGAGACATCTTTTTTTACACTGTTAGTAGGACTACTGAATAAGCCACCTTCGGTCTCAGCTACTGACTAAGCTGGGCTTCGATAGTGTCTGATGTTGGATCTGTGATAGCATCTGACAGTGCATCTGTGATATCATCTGCATTGTTAGATAGTGCATGTTTACACCGGGTAATGGTTCAGCAATATCAATGTTTAGTGAGCTTTATACATCTTGTGGCTACATGGTGGTCTTGCTTTCGCCAGTCATGTTCGTACATAGCAGCGCCACACGTTTATTATATGATTCCAACATTGAGAGTAATGTGGCTGTAGAAGGTCATGGGCGGCCGTTCCTAGGTTGCACAAGGCTTGTGGCAGCAAACAAACCTATTATTCTGGAGTGTTGCACAACATCGTGTGCAATGCTTGATTCTATCACTTGAAGCTTAGTGATAGCCACCTTAGCCACTAGACCACCGTGGCGGGGCTTCTGCCAAAAATCTTGTCACTCTTCATGAAATCATCATAGCACCTTCAAGTATGCTTTGTGCACAGGTCTGCAAGTGTCCCCATTCACGGCAGCCTCCTCTGTCTGAATAGTGGGCGGCACTGGAAATGCTCCTTTCTCCTCTAGCTGCAGATCATAAATGGCCACAAACCACATGAACACGTGTGGTGTGACGGCCTTATCTGTAATCACAATACGCATCCTGTAGTAACTAGCCCAGAGTGACCGAGCCGGACTGAGAACCAACGCAGAATCACTTTATTTTGCAGACGAATAAGTATATATATAGCCGGCTTGCCTATGACATTACAGAAGTGGATGACGTTGAACACGTTTTGACACTGCACTTCTTATCACATCCTAGTCGCCTCGCTGCGCAAACATAGCCTCTGTAACACACGACAGTCGACTCTTCCAAGCCAACGTGCTACGCCAGACCATTTTAGCACGGAGCAATGCGCGACTTATTACTGCTGTTCATACCCATGTGGGCTCTAGCATGCAGGCTTGCACAAGTGAGTAATGAACACTTGTTACAGTATGCTGAAGGGTCTTGTTGTCACCTGCCTTGTCTGGTCATCACCACATTTGTGTTCACGCAATGTTTTGAGAGTACTTCAAATGTGGTTGCATTGTATCAGACTCCGCAGTATTCATTACGATGAATTTAATATATGAGCACTTTTAGAATACTACATGGAGAGGAAGGCCTCTTCTTTTTCTTTTATTGATATTTCTAAACAGAGCGACACAGAACTGTGCAAGGAAAAGCTGCTCGCTGTGCAAGGTGTCATCAGCTTCACGTTCGACATCGAGAGGCGGCGGTGCGTGGTGCGGGTCAGGTCGGATATCCCGCCACGGGTGAGCACGAGGCCAACACTTGGTTCCGTTACCACTAGGCAACACAAATGCGGAGTCAGATTTGAGCGCATGCTGCTGGTACTGTACGTGCTCTGTCCTTATGTAGGGTGGTACTTTCAGTTCATTGGTGTAGCATTATTACTGGGGAAAGAGTGAGACGAAGTGCTAAATGGGTGACACAGGCGTTTTGCGTTTAGTGCTTTCGCCCACACAAGAATGGCGTTCGCCCTTATGCCTAGTTCACACTAAAACATCCGCTTTATACAGCGACCGAAATTCCCCTGCCGCCGAAACGCAGCGTAGTTCGCACTGGACGCGCCCCGAGCCGCCGAATATGCCATCTACTACGGGGCGAACGTGGGATGGATGCGCTGTCACCCGGTTGTTGTTGCGTCTCGCAAACGCTACTATGCTATCCGGTGGTGTATACTTCGACGATTCTCGTACGCAAGAAGCAAGAAAAGACAGTACTGCTTACTTTGCTGGCAAGTAGCTGTCTTGTAATGCATGAAGAGCAGAAAAACCACCGACGCCAGCGTCGTTGGTGGGTTTGTTTTGCTCTGCAAGACCGCAACAAGCTCGGTCACGCCAACAGCAAGCTCGGTCACCTCTTTCACGAAATACGGAGGCGAAGTAGGCACAGAGTAGGTTAAACTCCCGTTGGTTTCAACATTCAGTTACGTGCACTGCGGCATAACAAGTGAGTAGGGCTTGGCCGCCATTTTTCAAAATTCCTTGACTAGCACTCCTATTGGTCTGCGGTGACCGATTCGGCGGCAAACGCCGCAAAAATCGGTCCAAGAGCAATCGGTGCGGAGAGGGCCCTTTCGGCGGATCTCGCCGCCGCTGAACCGGATTCGGAGCAATTTCGGCGGCCGGAATGCTCAGTGTGAACGCGGCCTTATAGACGAGGGCAAATGTCGTTTCTCCACCCTCAGCTATGTCGTCCATATAGCACTTCAACCCCTCTCGCCCTGATTTTGTTGCCTTTTCTTGAAACCTTCAAGTATCAAAACGAGTGTGGTTCTGTTGCACATTTTCCAGGCATTGGTACAAGCCATCAAGTCAACAGGAACCATGTCGGCGATGCAGGTTGCCAACAGTACTATGCCAAAAACTCCAAGCAATAACAAAAGCAAGGTTTGTTCTGGGGTCATGATCTCGATTGCGCCCTGTCGTATAATGTACGTGTCCAGGCGGGATGTCAATGGTGTCTGTCACAAAATGAAGCGAGAGTGACACTTTACAACCTTATTCTTCAGTGTTCTCTGGATTAATGTGACTTGGTCATTGATATAACTTGAAATTGAAGATTGCTTATTACTCGAAGACAAAGCTATCCTGAAAAAATGGGTGGGTATACGCACTCTGTACATTACAGGTTATTTTCACAGTCCCGTAAAAACGTATCAATGTTTTACTGTAATAGTTTTTAACGAATGCTTTCTCACTTGCCCTTAACGTTGCTTCTACATAAAACTTTCTAAATACCTAATGGACGCACTTCTTGGTGTGTAATCTGGTCTGTATCCATTTTAGCCAATAACGTGGACACATTTTGCTGACCATTATGCTGCTGCCTGTTGTCAAGTGTCGAGTGAACCCCAATATTGACGCAAGATAGGCTGGCAAGTATAGTAGCCAGCCTCTGAGGAGGACAACGAAGTAGTTCTGTGTGCGCGTGCTCTGGGGTTCGGGTTTCTGGCCCTTGGGTTACGAAAGTAAACGCTTTGTTTTGTACCTGCGTACCTGTGTCTTCGTGACATTTTCTGGTGGAAGTGCTGGGTACGGTAGATGATACGGTCCCCTGAGAGCACTCCTGACGCAAGTCCATCGAGTAGCTCAGCCGAGCTTACCCCTGTGCACGTACGTTCCAGCCGTCGTCTCCAGGGACTCGAGCCGCAGCACGGTTTGCTGCCTGAACGTCAGAGGACTATAAATCAAACAACGCCTAACGTCACCGCGCCAGCACCAGCACACCTGGTTATCAACCAGCCGAAGACGCCGAAGACATTTCACGGAGCTGCTTTTGAAGATGGCGACGACTGGCTCGAACATTTCGTCCGGGTCGCCGTCATCAACGAACCCCAGAGCACGCGCACACAGAACTACTTCATTGTCCTCCTCAGAGGCTGGCTACTATAGTTGCCAGCCTACCTTGCATCAATATCATATCTGTACGATGTATGTTGGATCTAGCAAAGATATTTTTGTGTCAAACACTGATGCAGAGTTATGAAAGAATACCCAAAGATGTAGACATAGCAACCCTGTTGAATGTGAATTAGGGTTATCGAAAGTATGCAGCATTTTCGTTACATTGACAACCTGAATTCTGGTAATCTACTTGCATATTTGTACCAACAGCAGTGACATTTCAATTGCGAAGGAATTGCGAATTTTCTCCTCGGGAGAGTTGCACAACATTTATAGTGCTGTAAAATGGCTGCTTAGGGCAGCAAAAAAAAAAAAAAAAAAAAAAAAACGTCGAACCCAGCGTCTCCATTGTACTAAACCTAAACTGTGACGACAACAAAACCAGTCTCATCATACCTGTACTTTTGATCTACATAGCCTTCAGCAGAATATACTGGCCTCGACGGTGATGAGGCCAGCAGGATAACAGAAGAGGAAAAGGATGAGCACGATAGAGAAAATCTCCCGGCCTACCTTCCCGAGGTGGACAGCCCGATTCGAGAGGACGCTGTCGTGCGGCAAAAGAAGCCGAAGAGCTCTTCTGCGACAAGCTGGCTTAGCTCGGCTGCCACGTTCATCACGAAGTCGCTCTACTGGTGAAGTGACTTGAGCTCAGTGACACCGCGACCTTCTTTGACATGACAAACTGCGTGAGAACTTTTACGAGGACTCAAGCCACTTGTGCTCTGTGTCTCTTATCTCAAGAAATGGCACTCTGTAAAGGCGTAAAAATTTGTAGCAAGATATTACCCAATATTCTACGGTGGCGTGAGTACCGTCTTGTTTGGTGGCTTGCCTTACGGCATTGTAGAGTACATCTGCACAACTGCCATTACAATCTCAATCTCATGGGAGGCTTATGTGTGATAGTAAAGCTACCTTACACATGTAAGGCTGACTGAGCCACAGAGTAGCTGTACACACAAGTTCTCCAATGTGTGCCACCATACCTCGTGTGGCAAGTTGTCATTACGTGTCTGTCCTCTGTGTACCACAATTGTGAGCATGCTTCGTAATTTCAACCTGCCAGCCATGCAGGTTCACAATGATTCTTCAATGCCTCGAGTCGCACATGTGTTGGCTACCAGCACAAAACGAGAAATGTTAATTGTAAAATCTCGAGCTTTTAGGATTGCAGTGTACAGCAGCAAATTGCAGCCGTGCTATATTGCAGTTCCTTACAAGCTCCCCACATTGCTGCAGATATTGCAAGTGTGTGTTTGACACTAATTATGTGCGAGTAATTTAAAGAATAGCACAAGCTTTAAAAAATAATTGTAGGCATGTTTCAGATGATTGAAATGAAATGAGAATGCTGGGAGTTTGTGTCTATGGTGTGAGATTTGATTTTATTACTCTTATAATAAATGCCTTTTAGAAAGCGAGTGATGTATCAATGTCATAAATTCAGGAGCCTTTCCCAAATTTGGGTAAGCGAAACTTGGCATGTATGCATGCTGAGCCCACAACTTTTATTTGCGCAATGCCCCCGCCCAATTTTATCCATCATGCCAGGAATTAGACTTTAATCCACGTGCGTAGAGTGCAACACTATGGCTGTTACCTGCTACAGCGACAGTCATGCACCCATACCTATGTTACAGTGAAATCTGGGATTGTGAAATGACAAGTGAACTTGACATTGCCATATTAGAAATGGCTGATTGCTCGCAACTTGCTTCAAAGAAGCACTAAGTTGACTAGAGTCAGCTGAAGGCGTGGAAGGATACTCGTTGCACCAACTGCTGACTAAACGGGCACGGCTGTCACAATGAACAAACCTTTGTAGACTTCCACATAAAAACCTTGTCAATACTGAATACGTATTTCTCCCAAATTGTCCCAGTTAGTAGTGAAAAAATGTACAAAGTGAACAGCTGCATAGTTTGCGTGTAGCCAGATGCGTAGCGGGCCCTTCGCTGATTCACAAAAGGTATAATTATGGCTTAGCGGGCACTAAACAACTGTGCTTTCAATAGGCATGCTATGATATTCTGAAACAGCCATTGTTACGCAAGCACAGTCGTTTATTTTCCAATGGCATGATTGAGGCATGTACAGAGAACCCAAAGCAGGCTAGCAGTTCGGAAGGCAATGCACACAAGTACCGATTATGCTGTTGAAGGCGAAGCTCGAGCGTCCTCCAACTTTCTTTATTGATTTAAAGGCAAATACTAGCCTGCCTTTCCATCTCAGTAGAGTAGTATTAGTAATTGGGCCAATTCATTGCACTGGCCCAGTAGATTTAGAGGCCTACAGGACATTGCCAGGCAAATCAGTCATAATCAATTAGTAGTCTTGCTATGAAAACGATGCTGTGTGTGTGTGTGTGTGTGTGTGTGTGTGTGTGTGTGTGTATATATATATATATATATACACACACACACACACACACACACACAATATCCTATAGGTTCATAGTGAATTTTCATATGTTTAATAAAAATTTTAAAATATTTGATCCAGTGAAAGTTGCACCAAGACAAGTTGTTTGCCATGTACCACAAGGCCTCTTTGAGTTGTGTTGTAATGCCCACCAATATATAGATTCTGCTGGTCGTTTAAATACCTTGACAAGTAGCGTTACCAGCATTCACAAATTTCTTGAAGATCAAAAGAACACTTGAAGAAACTCCAGTACAACTTCTGGTAGCGTCCATGAAATGAGATTGGTTTTTGAAATGGACTGTTCGGTTATAGCAAACCTGAATATAATGAATTACCTGCTATTAACAAATATTTGTGTCAAATGAGACTTGCAACACTTAACAACATGGCTTGCTTCTTTGCCAATGCCTCCTACAACTTCAAAAAACAAATAATAAACATACAAGCTATGAATTGGCTTCAGACATAATAAAAAGAACACAAGATATAATAAAGGAAAACAGGTGGGATGCAGCAAGTCCTGTCTGTTTTACATTACTGCATCCTTTGTCCTTGTTGTGCTACTTAGTTACATTGAATGCATGGTTAGTTGGATACGATGTGCTATACTGTCACATTCATTCCAGCCGCCTAATGTACCCTATGTTAACTCATGGCACAGAAATGGCAGTGTTTGCGTCTTTGGCTGTGAGTGAAAAAGCAGCGTTAGCTGCGAGAGAAAACTCAAGTTGGAAGATGCAAATAGAAGATAGGAGCAGGAGGGCATTGGCACTTTGGTTTTCCTTGCAGCGCAGTTAAAGGTCTCCATCAAAAAGCGAAGGCAGGCTAGCAATTTGGAAAGCAACAATGTGTGTGTGTGCATGCAAATATTGCCATCACTTGGCCCTGCGACACTATTTGAACACGTATTTTTCATTGGTTCTGCTGGTGCTGTGGAATGCGCCGATATCATTGCACACATGGCAACGCCGAAATCGACGCTGTTATCATTTTGATTCACGGCACAATTTACCTTGATTTCAAACTACGGCGACACACATAGACTATTTTTGTTATGGGAAGTGACGTCGTGTCATGTGACGTGACAACAAACACCATTCGCTTTTGATTGGCTGTGGTAGCAATATTCACATGGTGGTAGCTAGGCCAAACGAGTGCTAAAAACAGAAAAAACCTTTACACTTTTTCTGAAAAGAATCACTCCTGTTTTGAAATGATGTATTTTCAGAACAACAAACACAACACTTAGCCTGCGAACAAGGCTATGGTAGCCACAACTAAAAGTGGAAACGCATGCCACGTTTTTAGAGAGCCAAAAATGCAACAGACGGTAGGTGCCAGCGTTGCTGTAGAACCCGTCTTGCATGCAAGCCGCGAAGTGACCACGCCCAAGGCGTTTGTGTGTATCCGACACAGAGCGACTGTGGGAGCGCCTGCTACCCGACGCACGCGGTTCACAGTAACTATGCTAACGACGCCATCAAAAAGAGCGGTAGCGAGTTATTGTGTGAAAGCCGCCACGAGGTGACATTTCCAGAATGTCTTTATGAGACGCGCGCTGTGACTGGAAGCGGTCTCTGACGTCAGCAGGCGAGTGGAATGTGAAAAAGAATGTTTCTCGTCGTCTGCTCGTGTTTTGAACTTTGAGGACTTATAACTTTTCCTTCTGTACACCAATTTCTATCATTCCCCCTGGCTATACCACTGGTACCACCGCTGGCTGCGCGAACTGACGGCCAGAATTAAAAACCATGACCTTATGCTCATCAGCAGAACACCACATCCAAAGAGACAGCAGGACAGGCTGCCAACAACTCCACACAGGGTCCTTTGAGTATATATAATATACGCATTCGTTTTCACTTTATTATGGCGTCAACAGCATCAGCAAACAACGCTGATCTTACAAAGCTCGTGAAACGTCGACAGCCAGGGCGGAGGACTAAAAAGTAAACAAGATGTGGCCCAACAGCAGTAGAAGTAAAGATTTAAAACAACACAGTTGGCTTAAATGAGCTTCAACAGTCCACAAAATGGAATTCATCGGTTTGCAACATACACCAAATTGTCAATGTTCACTCTTTTTCTCACAGGAATTGGGGTACTGCCTGAGAAGTAATAAAAGCAAAGTAACAAGAAATAAAAATGAAAGTATCTCTGCCCTTTAGAAATGGCTGAGCTTGCAACGTGCATTTGTAATCTCGATTCATCTTTCTCCCTGGAGAAGAAGTTACGCCGACACTTCTAATGCTTGATCTGTAGTTTATATCTAAAATTATAGCAATTTTAAAGCAACAGAGCAAGCATCGCTTTACGCAGCCAACAAACCCAGAACTGCATTTTTGCAAGCATTGCTTTACGCAGCCAACAAACCCAGAACTGCATTTTTCGTGTTGTCAGGAACCTCACATTGTAGTCTTTACTTGATCGACGTGTTACATCCACGATGCTCTTTTGGAATCGTCCCTACCGACTTGTTTCAGGTGTCTAGCACAAACTCAAACTGTTCAGCATAAACGAAATAAGATGGTCTTCATTATTGCTGAAATATCCATGGCCTACGAATCTTTGTAAGACTTTTTTGGCATTGTGATTTGCTGTCGTAATGTGAATCGCAGAGTTAATCGATTCATTACAAGTGGCAAAAAAGAAAGCCCTTGGCATCAAGCGACCGACATGGCTCCACCTAAAGCCTTCAGTTTGTAGACAGTGAAAAGGTTTGTGCTCAAATTATTGTGCCGAGTAAAAAAAGAGAAAGAATTTTACACCCCTGAAACTTTAGTAAACCTGCACAATAACAGTCAATACAAATAATGATCTATGTGCTTTTGAGAAAGACTGTACCATTTCACAAATGGTCCACCATTTTTTAGAGAAGTTAGCCAGGAAATGGAATGAAAGCCAACTGAATGCCTTCATTGTAGGTATTCCTTGCAGAAAATTATCTGATACCTCCCACGGCCAGGTGTAAGTGGTACGGAGGCAATTGCAAAGCCGCAGTGGGACACCAACAGTACTAATTTTTTGATCATCTTCAAATAGACGACCTTGAGCATAGTACATCTTTTATCGTAGCCCTAAACATGACAAGTTGAGCTTGGAAAAGCAAGCTCGATGCTCCGGTTTAGACGTGAACGGTGCCACTCCAGTAGTTTGACCTGTATCGCAAGCACATTAAATTTTCGTGAACAGTTTAAACATCCAGATCCAGCCTCGCTAAATATGCCCAAGAAGGTCCGGCATTCCACATTTTAATAAAAGCTCTGACGAGACGTAAAAGATACCTCGCCTCCTTGGCAAAAATATACGATGTTGCCGCGTATTCCTTCACCACAGTGCTGGGAGGAGGCAGCATTTTTACACTAGCTGTCAGCACAAGAGAAGCAAAAATAAGAGAAAGCCTCCTCACAGTTGGCACGATCACAGTTATGAACGTGCTCGGGCGATTGAGGCCCTTGCGAGCTGTACATTTTGGGCCACAACTTTGATATTCGAAGATGAAGTTGAAAAAATAAAAAAAATTCTCTTCACTCGGATCATTAAAAAAAATACTGGTCGAGTACAAATTCAAGCCTAAGCTGCCTCACCATGCTACCATACCAGGGTTTAAGCAAATAATCCGGCAACATTTTCTCATTAAGTTTTCTTCAAAGGCTGTAGTTTGCGAGCACTCAAAACTAGGCACCTACAACATCGACTCGGAGATCAATTTCTTTGCTGAACCCTTTAAAAATCGTAGATCGTTGCCCGTGCAGCCACCCGCTCGGCTCGGATTTCGAATAATTGCAATGTTGCAAATGTGAACTGCTTTGACGAGTTCACAAATTACAATTATGCGTGAAAGTGCAAATCCAATACAAAAATGCTATTTGGAAAGCAACCGAGGGTTTGCTACAGTAACCACAAACACTACAAACAGGGTTGCCGTTGGTGGCTGCTTTTCGACCAGTTTGGTGACAAAAATTTTCTGTTGGTGCAATGGCTTTTTACTGGCCACTTCTAAATTTCTGGTTTTACTTCAAAAAGTTTTATTTATTCATCATTAAAAAAGAAAAGACTCTGTTCATGTTACAGTACTACTCCTGTTCTATATGGCTACCAATTCGGCAACAATATTAAATGACGTGGCTACTTTGGCTACAGTTGCCTCGAGTTCTGGCACCTCTCCGATTCTACCCAACGGCAACCCTGACTACAAACCATCAACAATCATTCTTCACTAGCAACCAGCACACACAAAACAGACCCAAATTGTACCATTGCAGACTAAATGAAAAAAGGAATACAATTTCGAAATAAACAAGGACGAACCCACAGGCAAAGCTTTGAAAAAAAAAAAAAAAAAGTAACGTCATTAGAACCTAAGCTCGCCAGGGTCACGAATGCTCTACACTGTCTTAGAAGGGGGACTGCCATAAATGGTTCTTCTGGCTGAAGTGCTCCCCTATGCGGACTCAAACTTTGCACAGAGCTAGCATCGTGTTTATTCTTTAGGATAATAAGGTCCTCCATATATGCGCAAAAAGCCGAAGCACCACTCGGAATCAGAGAAATTTGCAACATATTGGCCATGAAAGGTCCATTTGTACCATGAAAATATGAACTGGTACTTGAACTGAATTTTATAAGTACGGTTTTTAAATAGTGATTGATATGAGCCTACCAATAAGAGAACCTAACTACATTTTTAAAAAAATACTACCATGAGCCCTATGCTAAGTTTCTATATTTATATCGCAATATTCAGGCATTCAACTGATAAGAATGAGAATTTCGGCTTTGCAGGTTTGATAAGCTGCCTTAATGCTCTATACGTCGATCGTGTATATCAGAAATGCAGTCCGGTATCAGTAATGCTACACACCACATAAAAAAAAAAATCATGGCATTGCAGACATAAAACTAAGCGTAATTTCACACTCCTGACAATAGGCAGCATCTTGCTCTTTTATAAAAAAAAAGTGCATTTTGCCGGACTTTTTCAGAGGGTAACTGTTACTATATTCCAGACAAAATAGGAATTTATATAAACGACTAATCACACACATGATACTGCATGAGGAATAAATTAAATGCCATCTCTGCACAAAACCTGTGGATAAGCTAGCACCTTCACCAGGAAAGCCACTTATATATCAGCTACTTTTTACCGGCAACGCTCAATATCATCGCAGATCTAATATATCTGAACATAAGCTACTATTTGTATGACACTCACAGCTTTAAATCAGGCAAGATGTCTAAGCATAATTGATCTGAACGGCACTTCTTTGAAGATATCGATTAGCCACTTTGGCAAAGTTGTTCTCTGGACAAGATCTATGAATGAGGCACTGCACTGGCGCACCTTCTTGTTTGCCATAAATCCACAGGAGTTCAAATGAGCCAGTGCCATGCAATGTTCCACCATTTTTACACCAATTAATGACAACTTGCATTTTTTTTTACAAGACTACTAAACACAGCCTTGTTACATGAAAAAGTCTTGGACCCTTTGTAGTATGTATCAATCCAGCATGGGAAAATATTGCATGTTAGCTGCTTGTTACGATGGTTGATGCAATCAACGAAAGATGTCAGGTTCTCAGTGCAAATGATTAGTACATTCAGAGTACAAGCCTAAACACAAAGGAAAGTGAGAGAGGGTGGCCACTTTTAATCAACATGCTAGAAAACTAGAAGAACTGTTAAGGAAAGAAGCATTTGACAGAAAAGGCAGAGACGAATTATGTTAAAGTGTCAAAAGCAAGTTTTAGATGCAGTTACTGTGGGCTTTCCGAAACACATTACAAAAGCAAACAGTGGTTAAATCATGTTGTAATAATTTTGATGTGCTCACAATATTTGCCACTTTTTTTTAATCTAGTTGGCACATCGCCGACAGCAATAGACAAGCTCTTAGCTGTTGTACAGTGAGGGTTCAGACGTGAAAACTTGCTCCCAGACCTCAGCAAGGCAGGCTGAGCAGAGACAATACTAGGATGCAGATGTGCAGCATAACTGCTTCCCGACAAATATTTAAAATGAGCAAACACGGACAATTTTAAAAGCATGGAATCTTGGCAGCTCCAGTGAGTGTACACCGGCACAAGTTCTCTTCTTTGCATGGGCCCCGGTTTCTCGTAACAGAAATCAAAAGCATCTCATTCATACAACGGCACACAGTCGCAAACTTGGAAAACCTAGCCACAAGGCGAGAGACATCACAATTCATAGTTTACTAGGCATAAAAGTGGCCCACATGTTACTTGCACAGCCCAATGAATGCCCTGCGCTGCACAGCCACACAGGCAAACTAGAGCCAAACGGTTTTCAGCGGAAACCGCATCACGGAGAGACCAACTACAGAGAAGAGGAACCATTGCGTGATCTTGAACTTTGAAAACTGGAGTCTCATTCTTGGCGGCGGACAGCGTCGCCCCCTGACCGCACCCCAACTCCTATTGTTGTGTTCAGAGCGTGGAGAGGAGACTGCCGCACAACACCACCACACCGGCACGATGACAAGCGCGTCATCGCTCTTTTTCGTTGACTTGCACACACCCCCCCAGTCCGGTTCACCATTCATCGTCGGCAAACACATCCCCACCGATGACACAGCGCACACTAGGGCAACATTCAAGCCATCAATCTGCTTTGGTGCTGATGCGCTGGTACCCTTTGGAGCCCGACGACGAATCCAGCTGCTCCCAGCCATTATCGTCGTCCCATCCGGAGTCCCAGTCGTGGTTCGCCGACGAGCCACCCTTGCCCGACGACTCCTCGCCGAAGTCGATGAGAAGCTTCTCGTCACCCTTCTTTTTGGACGAGAGAGATTTTGTTGGCGAGAGCTTTGACGTGGGCGACTTGGCGGACGAGCTTTTACTGGAGCCTTGCTTCGTGGAGGTCGAACTCTTGGATGCGGACGCCTTGGCCTTTGAAGACGACTTCTGCGACGGAGATGATGCGGTAGTCACGGGCTCCCAGGCGGTGTCCCCGGCCTCCCAATCGTTCCAGTTGTCGTTTTCATGATTCTTGGGCTGTGCAGGAGAACTGAACGAGAAAAGCACCAGAAAATATAGAAAACACCAATGACTTGGATTATGGCTAGCAAGTGTAACTGCCTCATGCTGCTAACTACGTTACCTGACAAGTTTAGTTTTAGATGAATATTTATAAAGCAATTCCTCTATGCACCACGTTTCAAAAGGTGTGTAAAAGTAACAGCAACTGAGCACGCATGCACATCTGGTCCTCCTAGAGAACCCCACAACTTTGCACGTGGTCACAATGGAAGCATTTTCAGCTACAGTCCATAAAATAAAAAGTGAAATCACACAGCGAATTCTTCCTCACTTGCTGATTCACTATTTGACTTTGGCAAACTATGGGTAATGACATGTCAAACTTAAACCATCTTGTAGGGAGCAGAGAGTCTGGACCAGGCATTAAACAGGCAGTCCATATGAGTGTACAATGGTATGTAAATTCTTTCCCAGGTATGCCATGAGCTTACAAAAAAAATTTGTAGCTCACTACCAAAATTTTGAAATTTGCCAAATCAACAAGAGAATTAAAAGCTGCATCATAGTGGAGGACTCCAGACTCCGTTCAACCAGCTGAAGTTCTTTGACGCGCACCTAAATCTTTGATAAACCCCACCAGCAAATTTGCATTTCGCCGCATCCACCAAGGCAGGGATCCAACCGTCAACCTGTTTCAGTTGTTTAAAGTCACAGCCACTAGTCTACCTGTAGCAGGCCTGTTCATTATCCGCTGAAGGTCATGTGTTCTCATTTATCTTTCCTTGCAGACAGCTAATGAACATGGACATGTGAATGATTATAGCCAAATAACTGAGGATAAAGCTGTTGAGACAATGAATGCACTCTCTCCCATTTCAACTAGCAAAAAATAAAATCATACACAATGGCGATCAAGAAGAACAAGCAGCACATTTTCATGCCAAATATCATGTCAGCATATCTACAGCTATGATTGTATTTTAGGGCACGTGGAAAAGGGGCCTTGTACACCTCCATACATTGTGCCATATCCAATACCTTCATATGTGTATGTATATATATATATATATGTTGGTAGCATAATTTCGAGAGGGTAACTATGACATTCCCCTAAATTATTAACTTACAGCTTACATTACAGAAACATTGCAGCAAAGTTTTTCGAGTCAACAGAAAGCTCAGGTTTGTTTTAAAACGACCAGGAATGAAAGAATGCGTGAATATAAACTGATCTGAAGTCCCTGCTATTCAGTTCAGATAGGGCTAGAGAATTCACCACACGAAGTTGTCAATTCTTTTGTTGTTTTTTTCTTTCACTGGAATGTAGAACTAAATAAATAAAGCTCATCTAAGCTACCTCAGCGCTTCTATAACAGGGTAGCCACAGAACTATAATGTCCCCGTTCTGTGCACGAGAGGTCTAATCGAACTACCGCAGCCTACTGTGTGTACTCACACTTGAAAGGGCAACAAGCAAACAAAAATCGTGGGTCATAGAACTGCTTAAAAACGAAGGGTAACACAACCATGACCCTGCTCACTCCGCTGTTTGCCATTTGACAACCCCTCTACATTCTCCATTAAAAAACACCTCCAGCTGCCAAGTTATTGAGTCCGACCCAGATCCTACCAGTTTGGTGCAGTTCCTGGTGACCCAGGCCAAAGAGTGCCGCACCCATGTTGATACTGGATGCCCCCCTGAGGCTCAGTCAATATACGAAGGACAAAAACATGTCAGTGTGCGACCCTCGGCTTCTTTTCAAGGAGCCAGAAGCACTTAAACGTTGCTTTGAATGCAGCGTTATCAGTAAGACCACTGGCTGAAGATTAAGATTAACAGACCATGGTTTATCTGCATTCCAGTTTATCTTAGAAGCTTTCCCCCGCAAGTTTGTTTGAGATGAAACATCTCTCAGCCTAAATAGCACTCAAGTGCGCTGTTGTCAAACACAAAGAAGAAAAAGCATTAATCCGTATAGTCAACAGCTACGTTCCCGACTAGATGGCTGGCAAGTAAATAAATCATTACGTCAAGCAAAACACCATGTCCACTAGGTCAAAGTGCATTACCTTAGACGACATATAACACTGCACATCATCAATAATCTCGTACCGAACTACTTGACCCTTTACTGCAGAGTGTCGCAAATTCGTGATATACCAAAAAACTTTGAGCAAGCAAGTCACGAAATGCGTGCTGCCATTAATGCCAGCTGTCAAGAACTCACGGGCAACGTAGCTTTCAGCATGCAAAATCTAGCCTTGTCTCGTCAAAGGCACTTTATGCTGGAACCATTTCATTTGAAGTTGATGGCAGAGAGCACGAAGCGCAAACAACAGCTATCTCTTCTTTGTTCTTTCTAGCCTGAGAAATGCAACTTCTATTTTCAATAATTCCATTTATTTGGGGTGTACACACCCAATAGATGGCACAGCACATGTTAGGTAGAGTCAAAGTAAGTTTTTTGTTGCAAAGTCCTCACCTTCTGTGGCACACAGAGAATTCACAGCACACATTAAAGTATGCATTCCAGTTGCTTTTGCATAATTGAACTGCAGAATCATTTAAAGCTTGCTATTTAAAACTGGAAAATGAAAACATTATTTCATTTAGCAGTTTCATAATTCAGGCATTAAAGGGTTGATGCGCAATTTCTTTTTGCAGGCACTAGTCAAAAGCAATCAGTTGCTCTAGCATTAGCCGATAATGAAAAGTGTATGCTCAGAACATTTTGTTTAGGATTATCACCCTTAAATGCATTCAATTTACAACCCCTACGTTAGCCTGTGAGAAGTGACAAATCAAGGACACAAAAAGAAATGCCCCTAAAACGGAATTCCGCAGATAAATGCTCCAATCAGAGGAGCTGCCTCTTGCCCTACAGGGATGCTGAAATCTTGAATTACCTAAAGCTATCTTCTCCCACAGAAATAGCACACCTACTTATGTTCAGCTTTCCTGAATTGCATGCATGCAGTGGCAGCAATGTGACATTTTTCGGTTACACAGATGCCGAGAGAGTTGCGATGCAAGCACAACTTGACAAAACCGTAGTGAGCACGTGATGCCCTTGCAAGCCACACACGACTCATATTCCTGGTAAAGTATCAAGAAAACTTTTTTTTTGTGCATGAGATCTGGGAAACACTTCTCTGAACATGAAGTGCATAGAAATCAAGCACAAATGTTTCTTTGTGCAAAAAACGTGCCCCACTCCGTGGCAGCTTCACAATGACAAGAAAACTTAGAGTCTTACAATGTGTTCTTGCCTAGCTTCCTAGACAAAAACACAAACAGAAGAGGTTAGATATGTATAACTACTATAATAACAGAACATATATGACATCTAGAGCGTTCATCAGCAGCACACTTCAGCCATTCTTAGGAACACCACCAAATTGGTAACAGCCATTTACACGTGCACGTAGAGTTAGGAGCAGCGCACACTTAAGGTAAGGCACAGCAGCGAGTAGCGAATAGCTCGGGAAGCTTTTACATGCAGGTTTATAACACAGAGAAGGCACGCAATGCGCAGCGAAAGATCGAGGAAGGGGCCACGTGACATGGCTGCCGCACCTAGAGCCACTGTTGCCAGCCGACCAGTTCCAGCCTTCCTCCTCCCGTTCGGGGCTGAACGGTCGGTCGTGCTGCTGCAGCAGCGGAGTGTCACTGCAATCCGGATTCTGGCTCCTGCGGGAGACGGGACACAAAGACGCGCAACATGCAGCAGACAGACGAGGACAGAAACAGAAGACGACAAGAGAACGTGAGCTTGGGCATGTTGGTACATCACATTAACGCCTGCAACGCACAAAAGAAACAGGACAACAGGGCTCACTGCAAGAGTTGGTTCGTTAGTACAGGAAAATAGTTATGGCGCTAAGAAAGAACGGGGAAGAAGTGTCAACACAACACTACAAACACGGACGGCAACTTCAAATCGGTCAATAACAAAAACCAAGCTTACCTACAGATGCTATTGCACAAGGTAATCTAATTGCAACATGTGTGTACTAAGAAATCATATCGACCCAGTGATGTAGCTTGATTGTACAGGTCAGGTCAATGCAGTTTCCAGTGCATGTCCTTTAGAGCCTGTCAGATCACTGGGGAATGTTTATTTGTAACAACATAAGTGCTGCAATATCTTTAATAACACTTTTTTGTTTTGACAGCAGATATAAATGAGTGTGGTTTCGGTTTATTTGCAATATCTTTAATAACACTTTTTTGTTTTGACAGCAGATATAAATGAGTGTGGTTTCGGTTTATGAACAGTTAGAAGCTGGTGCCCATGTTTGTCATTTTGTGTATTTTTTTGTTCCTATCTTTTTAGTGCCACAGTTATTTTTTGCGGGGAACAAAAAGCAGCATCACACAGAGTTAACTTCCAACAAACGATTAATTTTCTAATGTTCTGATCTTGTACATATGCACATGTGTGTACTGCCACCTAGTCTTTATATTCATTCGTACTGCTTCGTAAAATAGAACGTCTGTTGGAACTCGGCGCAGTGCACATGTCTTGCCATCGTGTCTTGTTCCTTTTGCGCGCTATAAGTGTTGTTAATATGAAGGCGACGAGCACACGGGAGCCACAGAACAGGAATAGCGAAGGCAGTGAAAGCTGCAGGCTGCAGTTAGGGACGTCGCGAAAATACAGGACAGTTCACCACGTGACCTACTGATAGTACAACTACAGCACGACCTGGGTGCAGTGGTATCACACACACAAACTAACAATTTTCGTGTCTTTTATCACGCACACAAATGAAAAATTTTTAGTGCCAAAACAACCACGTGATTATGAGGTACGCCATAGAAGCAGACTCAGGAATATTTTTGATGACCAGAGGTTCTTTGAAGTACACCTAGATATGACCATGCAAGAAGTTTCACATTTTGCTCATCATTTCCAAACTATGATGACTGATCACTAGGAAAATTAAAAAAGATAATGCATAACGAGCACTGTGAAGATAAAAAGCTACAGCGTTGCTCTCCCTTTATGGAAACAAGGCTCTGTATATTATTTCAGCATGGTGACATCGGATTTATTGCAAGTTCTACCTTACCTGAATGTGTAATCTTATTCCTTCGTTCATCCACGCAAGTTGGCTGAACTTCCTTCGGGGACCATCAAGCCGAAGGAAGCTCATGTACCATGGACAACGTATCCATTGCGATTACGCGCAAGGGGGTCATCAAACTGTGAATCATGCTCTTTGTCCAGCGTGACAATGGACTTAAGATAGACGCTTTCAAGTGAAACATCGTTTCGTTATCCCCACTGCTAGGGTAAACAAAAGAGCTGCGCGTGCAATGCATAATGAGGTAGACTGCAAGCGAAGAAAAACATTTCTGAACAAATTTTGTAGGGGTATGCCAATAGGACGACGAGATGCCGGGACATTGGCTCTCCCACGCGTGGCCTACCTGTGGCCCTGCAAGGGGACTGCTAAAAACACGATATTCCAATTCATTTAGTTTTTTGCAATTAGTGAACATATTCTCTAAATTGTGAAACAAACCAGTGCAGAGCTAGGGCATGGACAAAGAAAGAAAGACACCACTACATTTATCTATATTGCGAATGTGCACAGCGTTTCTTTAACAATGCTGCACAAACAATCAGATGTTTTCAATATTTGGATGCATCTTCAAACTGTAGAAAAAATACTGGCATGAAACCTATGCTGGATGTTATTTACTATATAGCTTCTTATTGCTTTCGCTATCCAGGTAGTTCGAGGCGCTGATTTTCATGACTCACTCGATAGTTTGTTCTGCACAATCAGCAGCTGCACATGCAAATGCAGCCTGAGTACATATGCCTGGCACTTTTATCTTTTCCTATATAGAAAATCAACATCACCACAATAAACCTCATTACTGTCGTACACCTCCCAAGTCTCGTACTCTGTCACAATTTCGTGGTAATGTTTAACGTCGGCAATGCCAGGTAACATAAGGACAGTCATAACATTGGACAGAGACATGCCTGCCAGTCCTAAACCCCCCTAAATGTCGTCTTTTTTATGCATTTAACATTAATGTAAAAGTTTGTATGAATTTGAAAGCTTGTGTCAACACTATTTCTTTTAATGTAGGGGGAATGAGGGATATGCGACTTTACAATGTGGTCACCCACAGAATACAAGGTCTGATGTTATTTGCCATTTGTCGCAGCTTGATAAGAAACGTAACAAGCTTAGCATGCCCAACACTATGTTACATGTTTTCTGACCCCCAAAACTTGAAGTTTGACTCCCGAAGATAATTTTTTGAGTTCTAAGCAAGTAACGTCTGGCAGCATGTTATGCACCAAAAAGGAGTTTATTCACCACTCGGTTTAAAGTAATGTTCAAAGTGCAGTTCCAGCAAACTGGAACCAAAAAATTTGATACACGTAGCGATAATGTGCTGAACAAAATGTTATGCGCATTGTCCCAGTTGCTGCAGCTAATGTAATGCAGCCGACAGAATGCATTACAGGCAGAGGCCACCAACTAAATGCACATGTTTGAAATTAAACCACGTTGTGACGCTGGGTATAGCTCCCTTCCCTTGTAGCATAGCTCAAGATATGTCTAATGTTTGGTAAGCACTACCCAATTCGAGCAAGATGATATTGCTTCCTGAAAATTTTCGAAACTTGCTTGGCAGGGCAGACAACATACGCATAAACTAGTGCAATACTAAGTGCACTGGTGACGTGAAACGATGCCAACGAATGTGTTAGAGGTATTGTGCTGTCTTAATAATAAATTGGGTAAGTCGGTATTGAAGCCAGGAAATAAATATGTTTGAATAGCAAGTTACCATTGTCAAAGAATACAAGTACCCATGCTTCATAACCTCCACACAATTCAGAATGCCAAGGGAGCATAATCAATTTCAGCAAAGGCCAAGTAACTCGTCACTTAACACATCTGTGCGTTGTTACGCTGCTTCTGTCGCTACAAAACGAGCTCATTTAGCACTGCCTTTATTAAAAATAATAGCATAACCTTTAAAAATCCTAGAAAGAAACTTTCACGAAATGTTATTAAAAGACACTCAAAGCCCACAAGGTACTATGAGTTAGCATCAGAGTGTCTAGATATTTCAAATAAGCCAACAAGCCTATATAAGCAGCTGGATGCACAAATTCTGTGGAAATATTGCTCACAAAGTACAACAGCTGGTGTTGAAGAATGAAAATTCTGACAATAGAGTTGAATAGCTGCTAAGTAGCATGTTGAAACATGGACAGCTGTCATGCAAGTTTTAGGGTCACCTCTATATTTAATGATCTTTATGAACCTCCAAGGAACAATTTAGCAACTGTTTCAGTTCTTTCCAACTCACGTGCCCTTTCATTTATGTTCTACCACCACAGCCAACTTCCAAGAGAGTTCATTATCTTGACATAAACCACGTGCCAGACGTTTTCTGTTTTCGGCAAGTGTTGTTCCTAAAGTTGGCTGTTGAATTACGCATGTATTTGGGGCATCAGAGAATATTTCAACCTAGGCCCCATGCCGTACACATTTCTTTCCTGTCTGAACAAGCATTGCCCTTACGGTGCACTGGCCCAAAGTTAAGAAGAAAACTTGTCCCCTACATATTCACTCGTTAAATGCACTAGGATTTGCGACAGCTGAAACGTTGCCCTACATTGACATAGGCTGCATCTACTCATGGAACAAGAATGACATGATTACAACTGATAAGCAATAAGCGTTGACCATCTTGATTACATGCTGCATCAGGATTAAAACACAAAAGCCATATGGTTAACGTCTTGAATGTGTGCAGTGGGCTACAAAGGTCACCTTAATAGTGCATTCCCAGTTAGTAAACCTATAAACTTCGTTACCAGGGAGCACAAGCACAGTGCACGAACATTCGGTAGCTGGACGTGAAACTCGCTACCTATTCCTCAGCACTAAAAACAACCCACAGCCAAGAAGGGAAATGAAGCCAACGCACAGCATATGGTAACGATTCGACGGTATTTCTACGGTCACGGGGAAGCCTTTCAGGCGTTCACATGCTCCCTGTGTCAACAAAAAGCCTATGACAACTCAACTGCACTCGACGGCAATGGAAAGAACACAATTTTCGACAAATGAAACAAGTGCTGCCTTTGACGCAGAGCCTCAACTACAAGATGTCATCACATCTTCGCTATACGTGCACACATAGATGGATGTGTCGCAACCGAAGCTAGCAACTGTTATAGACACTTCTGGGGGGGGGGGGGGAGCGGGGGACTCACTTTGCATGGCGCCCTACCCTGCAACCTTTCTTCACGGCTGCCGCCTTGGTCGGTTCTTGAAGAAGAAGCGAGTGCTGGCCGATGCCGGCATTCTTGTAGAGCCACTCCATAGTTGGCGGCCGACAGCTGTTACACACAGCTGCGCGTCTGCTAGCGAAGGCGCGCTTTTCTTCGCCGCGTCTGTTTTCCGAGCGACCGCTCCTCCCAAAAAAAAGGAAAATGCGCAGCAGCGGCGCAGAGAATGATGACAACAAACCACACGGCCGCAGGGGAGCGGATATATATCGCGCACACGAGAGACGCGCGTGGTGCTCGAAGAAGCAGCGGCCGTCTGTTATCGGGAGGACCCGACCATCACGAGAGCGACGGATAATGCTGCGGCAGAGGAGGAGGAAGAAGAAGAAGGGATGAGCCTTCCGAAGACGGC